TTTCTATGTGGTAAGACTGCCTGCTTGCAAAGGATTGGATGCTCTGCAGAGCTCATCTCTGGCTGTGTTTGTCAGTGTTTCTGCAGTTCTGTTTCAGCTACAGTGTTCTGTCAGTGTTTCAGCTGCAGATTCTCTTTTTGCCATGGAGGATCTCTAAGATGCCTTCAAACTCTTTCCTCTGAGATCCTAATGCGTTTACTGGGAAGTAGTAGTACAAGATATCCTGAACTTTCTGTGCTCATCTGAAGGTTTACTTAACAGGATTTGCAATGTGCCTTTGGTGCTAACTGCTGCTGAGCTAAAGGCTTCAGATGAAGGTCTCACGAAGGTGCTGCTGGCTGTGCCAGCTCACATACATGGATCTACTTGAGACAGTCTATCTCTGCTTATGTCAAAGGCAAAATGACAACTTGTCTCATTAGTCTGAATTCTGAAGGCTTCTGTGGTCACTGAGTGCTGCAGGCAGTTCTTGCTGCCATCAGGCCACAAGTGGGGTGCAGGCTTGTGAATGCTCATAGCTTTCTTTTTCTTTTGACAGAAATGGCTCAGGAAGAGATGGAAGTTGATCTCCAACCAGTGGTGAACTACTCCCTGGAGAACCAGGGGATGCTTCCTGCAGAGCCCACTGCTCACACGGCGCTGTCCTCCCAGGCTCCAGCGCTGAGCAGCAGAGGAGGCAGCACTATCGTTCTTTCCGACGATGATGAAGTCGTTACTTTATCAACTGCTGATGCCACAAGGGAAGCAGCTGCTGATCCTGACCAGCAGGCGAATCCTCCCTCAACTCTCATCGGGCTGCTGAGGCTGCAGGGGGCGTCTGACCAGCACCAGCTGCTGCCTGGGCCACAGATTGTGCAGCGCCCGCGGGTACGAAGGAGCGCTCGCAGGCAGCCGAGAGTCGGTGGTTCCCAGAGGATAGTCAGTGCCAGGTAAAGCAGGAGTGAAGCTGTGTCTGAGCTGTGCCCTTACCAGCTCTGACATTGGTTTAAAACTGCCTTGCTTTCTGGCTTGTAGAGCCCGGCTCGGTCCAGGTGTGTGATTGTGGCCAAATTCCAAGCACCTCACAACCCTTTTAAGCTCTGATGGCTCTCTGATTTCATCTGGTGATGTATTTTGCTTTTTGTTAAATGAACCCGCCCTTCTCAGTTCTTCTGTTGGTAGCGTGGTTGACTTGCACACTATTGCACTTTCTAGTGTGCAGAGCTGCTCCTATCATTCTTCTGCTCTGCCAGATTCCTGCTGGTGCTTCCTGCAGCAGAGCTGACTCTCAGCAGTCCCAGCCAGCATTTAGCTCAGTGAAGCTTGTGCTTTCTTCTGTTTCACCTTTGATTTGAGGGCTGCCTAATTAGGTGACAATTGCTGCAGAAACTGTTGTAAAAAATGCAAACTGACATTGTTTTTTTTCCTGTAGATTTTTGTCGTGTCCAAGCAAAGTAAAATTCTATGTTTAGGGCTGTTAGTGATGAGTTGATGAGGTGATGAGTGGGCATGCTACCCAACTAGAAAGAAATCCTTATTTCTGGTTTGTTTGGTTTCTGTCTCATCTTTGTAGCTTTTGCAAATGCCAAGGGTGAAGTTATAATTAACTGGAGTGCTGCCTTGAAATTCAGTGAGACCAAGATCTCCTCTTCTCCTTGGTGATTAAACATTGCTGTACTGTTTGCCCGTGGATTGTTTGTGAAGGTCACTGTAGTTCTCTGGGCTAGAAGCAACCTCGCAAAAACTGCTTTGAATGTGACGGATAATTGAGATGATAGCTGGGATGATGTGGGAAGAGGGAGGATGTTGCTTTCCAGGGATAAAGCTCCTGTAGACAGGAAAGGAGGAAGGTGACCAGACTAAGCACTGCAGTCAGTGAAATGAGGCTCTGATACAAGCCTCATGTATCTAAATTAGATATCTAATAGCTAATATTCTCTGGAGGGATGGGAACCAGGTCTGTGTCGTGACTGTAGTTATAGTGTAGGAGTTCCATAGGCTGTCAGTGTGTAGTACTGAAGTCTTTGCTTATTTTCTCTTCAACCCCACCAATGCCCTTCACCAAAATAAAGTCATGCGTAGTAATGACATTTTCTTGAGCAGGCAAGGTGAAGCTGTGTGTGTGAAGCTCTGTGAAGATGTTGCTGTGTGATATTGCTGACTGTCCATAAAGCAGGCAATTGTATGCTGTTGCCTCTTTACCAGACCAGGTCTGCCTTGATAAATCTGTTGCTTTCCTATCTGCCACTAGGGCCTGTGAGATTTTCTGAGAGTGAGCTGGGACAGCATACCAAGTCTCCAGTTTACCTGAAAGAACTGTGACCTTCATTTCTGCCTTCTCTGGATGCAGGGCAGCGTTGGACAGTTACTTTCAGATCAGCAGGACACAGGAGCCAGCTACAATACCAGGTTCACATCTGGAGCCCTCGCATACTGTGGGGAGCAGCCAGGAGCACACATCACAGGTCACAGAATTGCAGTCGAGTGACTCTGACAGCAGCACTTCTGAGGAGGAAGAGGTGGAGACTGCAGCACCGCTGCCTCCAGCAGCCCAGCAGACGCCTGCAGCAGCTAGCTCAGGTTTGTGCTTCATTTGTGCTGTGGATATTAAATTTCTGAAACTTATTGTGCTGCTTCAAAACTCAGCAGGGAAATACTCTGGAGCTTCACAACAGCCGGTGCTAAGAGATCATTATGCCCACAGCTGATGGGAGCAGGTTGCTACCACAAGGCTTTCTGGCAAGAAGTTCCTAAGAGCAGTATCAGCAGTGAGCAATTGTCACTGTCATTTTAAATATAATCTTTTTGCTATTTGCAGGCTGCTGCTTATAAATAATCCTGGAAGCGTTCAAAATAACTTGAAGTTTTTTGAGGTTATTACCTAAAACGTTTCCTCTGTTACCTGCTGCTGAGGAGGATTGTTGAAGATGTCAGGTCACATCTCTGTTTGGAGGCCAGCAATGCTTTCACTTCTCAGAGAAGGATCAGATTCAGGATATTTTACTTTAAACCAAAGTAGTAAGAAAAAAGTAATTTTCATTCCCATAACTTCTTGTGACACTTAGCTTAGGAGATAAAGGTAGAACAGCTTGGTCTTTTTCTCAGCTTTTTCTTCCTTGATTCAAACTTGAGTTCACAGGCTGCTTGCACTTCAGTGACTTGGTTTCTGGTGAATGTATTTTATGTAAGAGTGACAAGTAGTAAATTTGGTGTTCAAAGGTTAATGATGACTAACGAATATAAGAAACATACATTTCTCATTTCTCAGTTTCCTAGAGATTCCAGTCTCTAAGGAACATCCTTACGCTTCAGTCTGTTTTTGTTTTGTTTTCCATTAGCCAGCCTTTCTTGATGGTTTTCTGGGGTACATCTGAGAGGCCTCTTTGAGCAGATTAATCCCACTTGCATTTAGCTAGTCTTACACGTGACGGGCGCTCAAGCTGTTAAGTGCTGCCTAATATTGTATGAACATATGCTCTCTGTTGGGTTTTCTGGAATCCCCTTGTCTTTTCTTGCTTATGTAAGCTGCTGATTCCTGTTCATCCCAGAGCTTTAGGCACTGAAAATATTATTAACACAAGGCATTGTTAGGCGATAACTCTCCATTGCATTGAGAATATCTGCCTCGGATACTAATTGTGGCTACTAACTCTCTTGTTTTGTCAGGGGGCTGAAGGAGATAGTGCTTTCTGCTCCTTTTTAGTATGCCAGGGATGGTAATCCAAACATAGCTCTGCTGTGTGCCCATGCTTCAACAGAAGGGCTAACAGGCACACCACAAAAACATATGGCCCAGCAGAACCAATAGTTCAGATAACCATGAGCTGGAAAACTGCTTAAGTCAGGGTGAGTGGACAGACAGCATATGGTAGATGCCTCCTTGGCACATGAAATATTCATACTTAGGTCTCTTGGCAAAATAACTTCTCCGTGATGGTATCTGTCTTTCTCTGAGCACAATGGTGCAGGTCTGTAACCTTACTTCAGCCTAACTGTAGATCTGTATGCAGCTGTATTTGTTCCTAGCAAGCCAGAAAAGCCATTGTTATCAGGGCTTTTCTGTCTTCTAAAGCTCTCCTTTGTCACCAAATGTGCTGGAATTCTGCATCTTTCTATAAAAAAATAACAGAAAGTTCTTCAGTACTACTGCTGTTGAACAGAAGGGCTTACACATCAACTGCCTGACCTGTACCCAGGATGCTGATCTGAAGCTCTGTGTGTAACCTGTACCATTGTCACGCTGCTTGTACTGATGCAGTGATCATCAAGTCAAGGAGAACCTGTCTTCCCCCATAGGTATCAGTTTATTTAAGCAATGTTTTCTTCAGTTTCCAGTCAGGATCAAGCAGAGCTGCCTCAAACTCTGCCTCAAGTTTCTGTGGAACATGGAAATCGTGAGGATGAAGACTTTGAAGCCCAGCAAAAGCAGGTGAGGTGACCTAATGCTTTTGGAGACAGATTACATATGGTAAAAACCACATTTGTCTACAGAGAGTTTGTTTTTTAAATCTTAGAGAACTCCACTGAAGAAACAGGAAGCACCAGTTCCCGCTGCAGCACTGGAGGAGGAGGAGGGGGACACCTGTGCCATCTGTTTTGAGCCGTGGACCAATGCTGGGGACCACCGTCTGTCAGCCCTGCGCTGTGGGCACCTCTTTGGTTACACCTGCATTGACAGGTGGCTCAAGGGGCAGGCAGGGAAGTGTCCCCAGGTAAAGTGGGCATTTCTGTGCTCTGGGAAGGACTTGCTGTTGGGTGACTTGTGCTGCAGGCATGGTCACCATAACTATTACAGTTACTTGTTCTACAAAGAAACCACCTATGCCTGCTGTCAGGAGTAACAAAAATCACAATTATTTTGATGCATCTGGTGCAGGCACAGCTAGCAGTGCTTCAAGGGAAAGATTCTGACATGGATTTTCTCCCCTGAAGTAGAGTGCTTGTGACTAGCAGGCTCAGAAGCCTGCTAGTTTGAACTCAACCTGTAATTGGTTTCAGAGCACTGCGCTGTTCCTGGAGTGTGGGAATGGCAGACAGATTCCTAGAAGCAATTAAGCGTAAAGAATGCACTATTGGACTGGAAATCTGTCTGAGAACCATTTTCAGTAGGTTTAACTGCTATTTTTGGACTGCATCTACTTTTGCAGCCTAGAGATCAGGCTGTTCAGGTAGGTTTCAGAAAGTGAACTGAGAAACAAGCCACATCCTTTAACGTGCAATTGCAATTGATAGATCTGCTTCTTTAGGTGCTTCTTTCTGCTTCTGTTTCCATGCTTTTTTTGTTTCTATACTGGAAACTGTTCTTTTGATTAGGTCTGTGTTGACAAAAATAGGTCAGTGAGTGCCATGTAGATGGAAGTTCATTTCTCCTGCTTTTCAAGGCAGTGTCTGGAAGCTCAGCATTTCTTTGGCTTTCTCATTTTGAGAGCTTCCATGGTCTTGCTTGACTCTGTGCAGGATTCCCTCCTTGCACAAGAAGCTTCCTGTTGAGGTGCACTGTGATTAAGCCCAAAGACTCACTGTTAGCACAGCAAAGGCCCAGACCTAACTTTGCCCATCTCTGACAATTGTGTGTAATCTTTTTGTCTGCTCTATGCTCAGGCAAAACTGTGAGACCTTCTTTGCTCTTTGGCACTTTGCTTTCTTCTTGAACCTTAACGATCTGTAAGGGGTACTTTTTCCTGATTTAATGTTTTTTTGTTTGTTTTTAATGTGATTAGTGAAAATTCCCTGTGAGAAGTTCCTGTTCTGGAGACAATCTTGCAGCTACATCATCATCCTTCATTTTCATTCGCCGTTCCTTGCAGGCTGAGTGTTCTCTAAATGAATAGCACCAAGTTGCTGTGCGTGCTGCTCTGTATACTAAGTGGCTTGAGTAGTGCAGCTACTGTGAAATTGCAGCATTCCAGATCCTGTTGGTGACAGCTGTTGGCTGCCAGGAAAGCTGCCTTCACCACTCACTGCTCTGCAAAGCAGTTTTCTGAGGTGTGGGGGAAGTTGTCTGGTCTGAAACTGTCGCCCTTGGTTTCTTCATGCTGCTAAATAATAGAGAAGTCTGCAGTTGAAATGCACATAGCAATTTAGCTCACCGTTGAGTTTACTTATCTCAGTGCTCACTGCCTCTTTTCCGATCAGCCAAGTATGTTTGCAGAACAGGAAGATTTCAGATACTGTAATTTCTTACAGGTCCCAGCTCAGGGAGGTGTTGTCCTTTCTTTCTGAAGTATGAACTGGTCATAGCAAAGTGCACAAAGTGATTGAAGCACCTGACTCTCCTTGTATCACAAAATCAATGGAATGGCAATGTTTGATACTGTTACAGGAATGCTTGTGTGGATTTGGGCCTGCAGGGTTTGATCAAAGGAATATGAAATATAGGCCAAAGTTGGGAGTAGCCTTGGGGGCCCGGGTTCTGCTCTTGATGCCAGTCTTGATGCTTTCCAAGGTTTGGCTGTCATGCTGCTTTGGGTCATTTCTCCTCCTTTCTGTGGATTTTCTGACTGTGCTGTGTTTCTGGTGCTTTAGCAAAATAAATTTATTGGGGAACAGGCAGCTGGATTATGTTGCACCTTCAATAATGCAAGGTCTGATCTGCACTGCAGACCAACAGCAGAACTGCAGTGCCTGTAGGATGGGGTGTCTCGCAAACATGCTGTGACATTAAGTGGCAGTGCCTCCCTTCAGAACTCCTAAGGAATATCCAGAATAGTACCTAGCAATCTGTAGGGATGCAAAGCCTGGTTAGTGGTGTTCTTGTAGATGAACTGATGGTGTCTTTTTCTTTCAGTGCAATAAGAAAGCAAAACGTTCTGACATCGTGGTCCTGTATGCCCGGACTCTGAAGGCACTGGATACCAGTGAGCAGGAACGCATGAAGAGGTACGGGTGTCCCCGACAGCCTCGCTGGTTGCATGTCAAGGAAAGCAGCCTGGCTTTTACTTTATGCTTTAATTTCCTGTATTACCTAATCCGTTTTGTGCATTCTCTTGGGGGTTATCGTGAGCGTGGTTGTCATAGATCTTGCTGTGTTACCTGTGCCTTACTTGTAAGGAGAAGTTTCTTTGGAAATAGGAACACTGAGTTTGCACTTCGTGGCACTCGGGTTGCAAAAGGTATCTTGTGCTGGATCCTGAAATGTCATCGCAGGAGGACGTGAAGGGTTGTTGCCAGAAGCTGTATGTTGCTAATTCATCATTAGATGAGAAAAGCGAGGCATAATTAGAAATGCAAGAAGGGTGAATAACTGACCTTTTCTGTCATCTTTTCTGCATGCATTAGATGGAGTAATCTCTCCTATGAATCACTTTCCATCTTGCTTTGTCAAACTCTTCATGTAGCTTTACTTACAAAGGTCAGCAAGCATTACTCTGATTCTGCTCCCCCTTCCAACTTCAGTATAGACTTTTTTCCTTCGAAAAAAGGAATAGTGGAAAATGGGCACAAATTTCTTTTTGCTGAGATGCTGTCACGTATACTATTTTGAAATTGCAGGACTGCAGACTTCTGAGTTCCCTTGAATCTTGTAGTGAATAGAATTTAATTGGATCTGCTGTAACATGTTCCTGAGCATAATACTGGTCTTTCAACACTTTTTCAACAGACACCTCCCCATGCTAGTAATTATTAATCAGAGATGTTTGAGGAATAACTATCACGAGGGGAAGATATCTCTTCTGCCCAGATCGCTGCTGCCCGATGGTGTTTGAACTGCACCTTTAGGAAGGTCACAGTTGCATTTGCTGGATAGATACAGCAAAACAAACAGAGTAAAACTTGTTTTCGCATCCTTAGAAGGCATTTGGGTGCTTAAATCTTGTTGTTCCTCAGGTAGAGGTGACTGCTGCATGTGTCTCAGGATCCTACAGCAGCTCTTCCCACTTGCCATCCATCTGTCTCCTTCCTGCTGTTGGTTGGGAGGCAGACAGCACTGACTGCCTGTCAGTCCCTCTCACTCACTGGCAGTGGCTGCTTTGTGGCACGTAGCCACGAGCAGGGGACAAATGTGGACCCTGATACATCAATATTGTTTGCACATAGCCTTGAGTTAGGTATGAGCTTATGGTTTTGTCCCTTGCATTCAGAAGAGCTGCCCTTTTGATTCTGGGTGGCTGTGTATGCTATGGTTCAATACAGAGCTTCATCTGTTTCTTATGCAACCAAGGAATAACACAGCGAAGCTACAGGGAAATGACAGAACTCTTTGCTTGATAAATGTGCAAGGCTAGGTCTGTGTATTTTAAAGGTGCTTAGGCAAGCTAGATCTCCTGCATGTAAACTGCTGAAATATCCAGAGTACTGCAGCTTTTGGAACACAGCATCAATACAGACCCAACGTGCAGATAATTTTAAGGAGTAATGGTGTTTCTTTCCCTCTCCTCCCCCCCTTCAACTACTCCTTCATATGTAAAGTACTTATGAAAGCAAAACTTAAGTATGTTTTCAAAACAGCTGCTGCTAATTTTTTTATGTGCGCTTTTAGGCTCAAGATGAGGTAGAAAGTAAAATTTTAATACAGGCCTTTTATGGCTGTTCTTTTTCCAAGTGAGTGTGTTTGGGCTCCACAGGGTGAGGAGAAAGGCTCTTATCCTTGTGGAACAATAATTGAGTCATTCAGTACAATTAAGGTGAACATACTGGATGACTCTAGCATCCCGTTCTGTCTGAATTTACCTGAGTGGGACCTGTGTTGAACAAAGTTCAGGGACAGCAGTCAGCAGAGAAGCATCTCAGCAATACCTAGCCCTGAGGTTTGTTTTTTTTCTGTCTCTGTCTCATCCAGCTCTTTAGAAAAGGAGCAGAAGTTGCGGAGACAGGCAGAGCTGGAATCTGCACAGAGCCGGCTCCAGCTGCAGGTTCTGACAGATGAATGCAGCAAACTCCGTAAGCAAGTTCAGGTGAGTCTGACTCTCCTGATGCACAGAGGACTCCCTTTCTCCCCAGCCTGACTCTTGCTTCCTTACAGGAGAGAAGGCAGAATTCCAGATCCAGTAGGATTTAGTAAACTCAATTGGTCAATGACTCTCAGTATCCCAGGCTAGTGTAGTTATGCATGCTGCTTAGTGCTGCTTAGTTCATTTTTGCTTCGAAGACGTAAAGTCACAAGTGCAGTGTAAAGTAAGTGCTCTGTGCTGCTGATGTTGCAGGTTGCTCCTCGGCTCTCGTGGCTGCTAGCAAGGTCTGGTAATGCAGTGCCAAATTTGTCCCACTTATCACAGAATCACAGAATTGCCAGGGTTGGAAGGGACCTCAAGGATCATGAATCTCCAACCCCCCTGCCACAGGCAGGGCCACCAATCATCCCACCTAATCTTTCTTTAATTGCAACAAAATAAGCATTGAAAGTCTTATTCTATAATATATTATAGAATTATGCTATAATGGGAAGTTTTTGATAAATAGTTGGTGAGGGAAGCATGCTTGTGGACATTCACAAAAATAAAAACCAACAAAGCAACAAAACCCCTAAATGTATTGCAAAGGTCAATCAAGATTTGAGCTAAGCACTTCCTGCACTGTGAGCCTGTCACTGCGGTCAGCTGGGGTTCTACAGCTGCTGAGAAGCACCTCTGTCTCCTCAGAATACACTGAAAAGGAACGACTGGTTGCTAAACGGCAACTTTCTTCCTGGCTCATGAAACGTGTAGTATTTTGTAACCTGCCACAGCTGCTTTCACAGAATTTCTGTGAAGTTGTGGACCTTGCTGGAAGTTCCTCCTGTGAGTTACCTCACCTGTTGCATAGCACTGGGTGTCACAGCCGGTTTGCTACGTTTTTGTTGCATGAAGTAGGTCATATAACTTGCCTCATCTCTCCCTGTCTGGTGCCTTGCTCAGCTTTAAGCTTTTCTCTACTTTTGGATTTTTCAGAGCCTTGGCTATTTATGTCTGTACATTAAGCAACATCCTTTTTTGCCAAAGTTTTTCCAAGTGATGTAACACGTGACTAAATACCTGCATGAGGCTGTATTTTCATCAGGGTGTGTGAGAAAACTGGTCTGCTATAAACTTTGGCTTAAGAATGACAGGAATAAGATAAAACTGCAGGTCCAAAACATCTTTCTGCAGTTCTTTAGGTATTAGATGATAGAGTATCCAGTCTAACTGAGTTGAAGTCGCACGTTATAAAGATTAAGTACCCTGTGTCCTTAAGCTCCATTTCAGTATTTATACTGCATTCATCACTGTCCTGCATCACTTGATGTGAATGCTGGAAGCAATTTCAAGGTACTTGTCTATGCTGTGAATGAACTGGAAGTGAAAAACAATTTGCTGGGGAGTCGTATATCAGTGGGAAGCATAGAATAAGCTGCTGAACTGCTGGATTATATTCTGAGCGTATGCAAAACTAATCCTTTACATTATGGGAGGTCATCTAGTAAAGCAATTACTTACACAGGAAGGGACAATAGGAAGAGACACCTGGAAGCTTCCAGCCCAACCCTAGCTGGGTAACTTCAGCATTAGATTGGGTTGCTTGGGGCATCAACTTATCAGCTGATGGAAGCAGACTGCAAAACCTCTCTGGACAGTGCACTGTTCTCACTGAGAACTGACTTTGTTGCATCTGACGTTTGCTGCCCTTGTCCCTTTCAGTGAGTAGTATGGTTGATTGTACAAGAAAATGTGTTTAATTGGTGTATGAAGGTGGAAGTCACCACAGAAAACACTGCTGTGGGATTACGAATTTGTGAAATACCCACACGTTCAGAGGGACTTCCAAAGTGGAATAGTCCAATTGCACAAGACTATTGGAAGAGTTGTTCTCATTGATTGCACACAAACTTTGATATCTTATGGCTTATGTTTTCTCTAAGACTTCAGTTCCCCCAAAGCCCTCGTGTGAGCCCTTCTTTGTTGTTAGTGTGCATGAGAACTGTGCATTGTGTCATATTGCTTATGATCCTTTTGTATGCTTTTCTTACACAAAAATGAGCTTGCTTCAGCTTTCTTGTGGAATGTGTATTAAAAATGCTGTTTCCAGGCTCCTTGGCTCAGGCTCGATGCCTCTAGTGCTGCACTGCAGTTATAGGGTCATGCATTTATCTCTATTAAATGCAAATCTTAGGCCATGTAGAGCAAGATAGCAGGCATGACTTCTCTAAGAGGTCTGTGGGAGCACAGCCAAGGAGTGGCTGTCATCTGATAACTGCTTTTGTTTTTAAAGGTTTGTATCAGCTATTACAACCCTTAACCTAATACTTAGAAGAAAACTGGCTTGAATCTGTTGTAGCTGGCTGTTTTCCTTTCCTATTCGTTGTCCTCTCCTATTTCAGCTTTTCATGCATATTTCTCTAGAAGATTTTTGCTGGATATCCTCTTCTGGAACAGGTTGCCCAGTGATGTTGTGGATGCCCCCTCCCTGGAAAGCATTCAAAACCAGGCTGGGTGGGGCTATGAGCAGCCTGGTCCAGAGGGAGGTGTCCCTCCCTATAGCAGGGAGTTGGAATGAGTTGATCTTAAAGGTTCTTTCCAACCCAAACCATTCTATGATTCTTTCTCCAGTTGTTCCTTCATCAGAGCAGGAGCCAGGCAGACTGCACAGCATCTCAAGGGAAGCAATCAGCTTATCCTACCAGACGTGTTGTTCTTGAGCACAGTTAGAGGGGTTTGTTCTTTGGTGCAGTGTTTGTAGTTGCCTTGGTAATGTCTCCAGTTCCTGGTTCTGCTGGGTTCATCCTTTGGCTGTAAATGCAGACATACTGATGGCCTTTGTGTTTTTAATTGCCTGCCTTTCTTTTTAATGAAGATCTTGCATAAAATTGAAATTTTGAGTGCAGGTGGCAAGAAGAGTTTTATAAACTCCCCAGAGCAACAAATATTTTTAATCTCTTCTCATTCTCAGTGGTGGTGGCATCTTTCTGTCTTTCAGAAGTAGGGCTTATTAAATTTTTGATGAAAAGCTGCTTTCTTCTAAGTTACCTGTGTACATACTGATTGCTTACTCCAAGCCTGAAGCTATAGTTTCTGATTGTCAGCATCCTGGCACCCCTTACATCCTCCCCCATCTTCCCCAGATTTTATCTTTGCTCATCTCGAGTCTTCAGGCTCCATTTTTAGTCTCATGGGGGATTTGGAATGCAGAATTGCTCTGGAAGACATTGGGGCTGCTCTCCTCTTGAGCAGTCCCCAGAAGTTATGGGGCTTGATGACAGCTGTTAATGTAGAGCTTGGTATTTGGTCTTGCCTCTTTGAGAACTCTTGCCTATGCTTGTACACAAGTTAAGTGATACTGGCTGGCTCAGTATGGAGGCTAGCTTGCAATCTACTAATATATTTATATTTCTTGTGGCCCTTTAATTGTTTAAAAATTATGTGGTATTTGAAGCATAATCCAAGTTGCAACAGAAAGCAAGTAGTAATTTTCTTAATGTATATCCTCTCTTTAATATCACTGGGGTACTGCACTGCCTGGTTTTGCCCTTGGAGCACAGTGAGTTGTTCTCAGGAAGTGTTGTGACCACTTACAGGTGATGTAAATATAGCAATGCCACTCCTCACATCACCCACCTTCCCCCAGTGCTCTCTGTGGGAAGGGGAGTTGGAGAATATCTTGTTTGTGGCTGATGCTGTGATGGAAGGTGTCCTTGGCGAGGGCTTTGCTGAGCATCCTTGAGCATCAGTTGAGGTGGAAGGAGGCGGGGATGAAGCAGAAAACAAGGCAGGAGCTCTTGAGAGTTGTTGTTCCTGGAATTTGCTGCCCAGGGTTTACAAGAACAGGGCCTTCTTCATTAAATGGAGGGTGTTGCAGGAAACAAGTCAGTCTGTGTTGAAACTGGAGGTTTTTGGTTTGTTTTTTTTTTTTTAATTCTCCTTTATGGGGTATTCTGGAAATTCTGGAAAATGGTTCTAATTGACTGTCTCTTGTGGCTGAGCTGCATGTAATACTTGGCAGTTCATTCTCCTCTAAACAGCATTGATCTGGTAATAATTGTCATTGGCTTTTCTGTGTTGCCCCAGAGCCCTCTCTTCTAATACATATAATAACAGACTGAGTAGATTCAGCCAGAGCCTGCAGAACCTTTGAATGCTTTTGTTGCTCTTGCAGTCAGCAGACTGGGAAATGCAGTGTTTCAGAAACAGTGTGGAGCCAGAGCAGTCTCTTTGAGAATGGGAACACCTGAAGTACGTGGATCAGATAGCACGGGGTGCTACATCTCCAGCAGAGCGTTAAAACTCCCCAAGCTCTCTTTTCTTTGCAGGAGCTGAAGGCTCTGGTGGCTCAGCACAACGTCAGTGCTTCTAAACAACCTGGCAACTCCCGCACCTGCTTCCCAGGCAGCCTCCCCTCCAGCCAGAGCCAGCGCAAGTACCACTTGGAGAAGGTTTTTGTGGTGTCTCAGGCTGGGAACTGCAGAGTGATGGCATACTGTGACTCACTGAGCTGTCTCGTGGTATCGCAGCCTTCTCCACAGTCTACTTTTATTCCTGGTAAATGAGCAAGTCGAGATCTGGGGGTTTGTAGGTGGTATTAATTTACAAAAGGTAAATGTTTGCTTGCTCCCTATGCCCTCTCTCTCTGGCTTTACCTTTGTATGTGCCATATAAATGGGGAGCACTCACAAGTCTACCTCTGGTCAGTGCTTCTGCTTTGGTGACCTGTGCCCAGAGGGATGACTTGTCTCCCCCTTCCTTGCTTCTGCAGTGGGATCTTAGCAGAGGATCTCTGGCTCTTCTGCTCAAGTGCCACATCCTCAGGAAGGTGAAAGAATAAGAGGTCAGCACACAAGGGCAGGCAGAGTTGCTCCTGAGCGTGAGCAAGAAATGTTCCCTGTGTTGCAGGTGGATTGATCCACGTGCTGTCAACTAACTCCTTTTTTTTTTTTTTTTAAAGAAAACAAACTTTTAGCATGAATGGTAGGAGCACTGTCTCCCAGTGTGGGAGCAGGAGGCCAAGAAGCATGGGCAGTGCTGTTCCTGTCTGGCTGTTATGGCTGGGGCAAGTGAACTGACACCTGGCTTTGTGCCAGCTTCCTGTCCCTGTGAAACAGATGGAGCGTTAGGAGTCTGAGAGCCTTTATTTGCAAAGCACTTTCATGCCTTCTGAATGGTGAAGCTTGTTTTAATCTCCAAACCATTAACCAAATAATGTGCTTTATCTCAACATAAGAAAATTCCATTCACTGTATTCAACTCACCTTATTCTTTGGAGCCATGAGTGAATCTCTGAATGGAGGCTTTGTGGCACGCAGGAGAATTTCACCTGTAAGCATTTTATGCTGTGACACTTGTTCTCTTAAATTGCCATGTAATCCTGCTGTGCTTATTTAGGAGAAACTGACTAAAGAGCAGCAGCTCGTGTAATGAGAACTGTAACAGTAACACTGGATTTGCTCTTGCTGGCTTGAATACTTCAGGATTTTACGCTGTTGCTGTTTGAACTTAATAATGATTTGTGGCAGTTCTCACTCAGAAGAGCAAATAAATGGGATGTGGTTCACCCCACCACAGGTTTTAATATGGAGATTGTAGATGGGATGTAGAATTGCTAGTTGCAGGTTCCTCAGCAGTTGCTGATAGGTGTCCTGCCTCACACACAGGCTGCTTTGCAATAACCTGCCTTATCCTTCTCGTTAGGCTGCGGTGTGAAGATGATGAGTGTGGCCAACCTGAAGAGCAGTCAGTACATCCCCATCCACAGCAAACAGATCCGGGGGCTGGCTTTTGGCAGTCGTGCAGATGGCTTGCTGCTGTCTGCTGCTCTGGACAACACACTCAAACTCACCAGGTGAGCCTTGCTGGGGGAGGCAGCATTTCCCAGCTGAGTGTTCAGCTCTGTGCAAGAGCCTGGATTGGATTTTGTAATTGTCTTGTAGCCCCTGCTGTTCTATGCTTGATTTTCTGTTATTGCAGTGAAATGTGGAGCACGGGAGCTTGTATAGCATAAAGCAGAAACTGTGTTTAGGTTGAGCACTTTGTTCCCTGTGCTGATGTGGGCCTCTCTGACTTAAGTCTTGTGGGTTGTGGCGTTCATCTGGGATTTGAAGTGTGTGCACAGCATTGTTGAGCGTGTGCTGGAGAAGCACAGGTGCTCTGGAGCTAGCAGTGACTGAAAACAGCAGGCTGGAGACAATTATGCAGGGGATGAGAGACATTTCTCCATCCCTGGTGGGATTTTCAGCATACGAATGTGTGTTTTCTTGCTACTCTGTGCTGCCCTTCAAGCTTAAGCTAACTCAAAACTTTGTTGACCTGAGTTGTAGCAACGTGTCTGTCAGTATGGACTTAGGCAGAATATGTCATGTGATTAAATATCCTCATTCTTTCCAACATGTGAAACAATGAAGAGAACATAATTCTGTAACAAACACGTAAAGAATGCTTGCTTTCCCATCCGTGGTACTGTGTTGAAATCCTTGGTTGACTATTTAAAAATTAGTATCAAAGATGGGCAGTTTTGTTTAAGTCAGTGTGCCAGGTTTACAACCGCTGAGGTTGGTGTTCTTGTCATGGCTTTCCTGCAGAGCAGGCTCTCGTTGCAAGAGCTGCTTAAACTTGATTTCCACATCTGCCTCTCTCTGCCTGATGAACTGCATCAGAACTTGTGATCCTTCTGCATTTGTGTTTGATCCCCAGGGTGCTGGAGTTCAGTGTTTGCTTCAGCACCATCTTTCTACAAAGAAGAATCCCCCCCTTGGCCACCTTCCCAGTTACTGATTTCCAAGTCATCCTACAAAAAGGAATTATCCAGGATATTAAGTCCCCCATTCATGTTTACAAGTGTTTAAATTAGCACAAAGGCTTTGTTTTCCCTTGCTTTTAACCACCCTCTATTCTGATACACATCTCCCTGATAGTTCTCTCCAGCCAGGTCTTTGTGGTTGTTCCTTGGGAGCAATTACTTCTGTGGACTTCTGCACATAATTGCCTTTTTCCAAGTGAACCCCATGAGTTATAAAGGGGTTATTTTATTGTGTTCTCTTCTGTCTCACTGGAGTGTACCAAGCTTATATTGGCAGTGCCCCCCTTGGCAAAGAGTACTTTCTAACATATATTCTAACCTGAGCCCAACTCCATCTGTTCTTCTGGGCTGTGCCCCTCCATGTCATTCCCTCTTCAGCCTTCCACAAATTAAAGTTCTAAAGAATTAGCACTATAAATGTGCTTTTAATAGTCTTAACCCCACTCATTGTTTCTCTCTTGTATAAAGTGGTTTCTTTTGAGGCGTAACTAATGTCCCTTTCATGAAAGAGGGAAATAATGAGATGTAATCTGAAGATGCAAGTCTTTGATTTTAGGAATAAGCAGCGTTGAGAGATTACAGTAGAGGGTTTCTCCTGATTTTTTTTCTAGAAGAGTAACTTAGATTTCTTTCCCATAAGGCAGCTGAGATCCTGCTCTGAGATATCCATTCCCAGTCTCTGAAAATCAATCTAGAAAAGGAAGCATCACCCTGGAAGAATTATAACCTCCTTCACAAACAATATGAAAGGGTTTATTCTATCTAGATTATGCAGTCGTGTGTAGAGCATGGGAGTAGTAATTTAGAATTCAATCTAAGGAGATTAGCTTTTGAGTCTGTATAAAGAAGCCTGATTTGCTTCCTGTGGTTGCACCACTTTCTTGCCAGTAGGTGTTGTGCGAAGGACCAACAGTTTGTTTTTCTCCTGCAGCTTGGCAACAAACACTGTGGTACAGACATACAATACTGGCCGCCCTGTCTGGAGCTGCTGCTGGTGTCTCGATGATACAAATTACATCTATGCTGGGTTGGTCAACGGCTCCATCATGATATATGATCTGAGAGACACCAACTCCCACGTCCAGGAACTAGTCCCTCAGAAGTCCAGGTATTGCATAAGGGTTTGTCACTTCTTCCTGCTTTGCTGGTGTATGTTAAGCTGAGCGTAGCTCCCTCCATAAATGATACATGTATGGTTAGTGTAGGTACTTGGCCAGTGCATCTTAAGGCATACAGCCATCAGAAATGGACCCAGCCATTGTACAGCTCAGCAGCAGAACCAGCTGGCTTTTGGAGCTGGGTTTAATGTTTCCTTTGAAAAAGACAAATTACAAGGAGGTACAGGACACTGGTGCTTCCATCTCTTCTACTCAGAATCAAATGTTGATTTAAGAGCATATCTTAGGGGATCTCCTATAAGCAGTGTGGACTTGGCCAGTCAGGCTGTTCTGGTCTTCGCACTGCCCAAGACAATCACAAGCTTTAATGCTTTAACCAAGACTTAATGCAAGGCAGGCTGCGATAGGGGCCTAGCCATGTCAAGCTGCTGTTAAACAACCTGAGCATGTTGCTTTTGTCACTTGGCCTGCCCCTTCAGTGAAGGAAAGGACTCATAAGTAAGTTCTGTACTGATGACTGCTGAAGCCTGCTGTCCCTGTTTGGAATATTAAAGCTGTGGATTGCACCACATCTGGTGTATGCTGTATGATGTCTATTTAAAGCATAAGATCGTAATCTTGCTGAATTTTGTTTATTCACGTCAAACCCATTGGGGTTCCTTCCCTGAAGGGCTTTTCATAGCCTGCCTTGCGTCCTTTCTTTGTGGGAGCTCTGGAGTGGTGAAGCAGAATGCTGCTTGACTGCAATTGGCAACACTGACTCTTGCCACTCATTTTCAGGTGTCCCATGGTATCACTGTCTTATCTGCCTCGAATGGCCTCGGCCTCTTTGCCCTGTGGTGGCATACTGGCTGGGACCTTGGAAGGAGCCTGTTTCTGGGAACAGAAGGCTGGGAATTCCTACCGGCCTCATCACCTGCTGCTGGAGCCAGGGGGGTGTATTGATATTCAGACAGAGAGCACCACACGGCACTGCCTCGCAACGTACAGGCCCAGTAAGTAACAGTGTGCATCTGCACTGTGTGCTTTTTGCTGATGCTCTGTCCAGCTATATTTATTGGTTCATCAGCAACTTAGGAGCTGAGCACCTACCTGAACCATGGTATCTGCCTTGACCACGGTAGCGGGTGTTTGCACATAGGTAAGAAAGAGGTGAGGGTGAAAGGAGGTAGCTGTAAGGTGGCTTTGCTTGTCTTCCTATAGTTATACTTGTCCACAATTAAATTTTTCAAGGGCTACCTTTTTACTTTTGCCCCACAGGTAAAAGTAACCCGTGTGTGCGTTGTGTCCTGATGGAGCTGACCTGCACCCCACTGACAGAGGCCTCTGAAGGTGTGGTGTGCTCTTCCAACCCCGTTCAGACTTTCAGTGCTGGACCCACCTGCAAGCTGCTGACCAAGAATGCCATTTTCCAGAGCCCAGAGGAGGATGGCAGCATCTTTGTGTGTGCTGGTGATGAGGCATCTAATTCTGCCATGGTATCTCCTGTTCTGTTCAGTGTGGGGGATTTTATTGCAATTCTTTGGGAGAGAAGCTTTATCAGTCACAGCATTGATGTGTTTTGGTGGGAATTGCCTTGTCACAAGCACTACCTGTGCTTTCCTGTAGCAGATGCTACTGATAGTGTGGGATGTTGGCCAGTATCAGCCTGTATTCCACATCCACGGAAGGGAATGTAGGCAGCAAGCCCCTTCTGCCTGCCAGAGGAATGTAGCTGGGCTTGTTGCAACTGAGCAGTGTAATGTGATTGCAGTAACTGAGCCCTGGTGGGACAGCTAATGTGCCAAGTGCTGTGAGGGGTGGACAGGGCAGAGGGAGGAGGAAAGATGAGTGAAGCTTTGTCCTTCTTGTGGAGAAGCAGCTGAGGTGCAGAGGATGGGCAACAGTGTGAGAGCTGATGAGTCAGGATCAAAGGAAGGGCATGAGGGTGACGTGCTGGGAGTCTGCTACCCAAGCAGGCTGTGAAAGTAGGCAAAGGCTTCTTGAAGCAGATTGAGGAAAGTCTCCAGACCCTGGTTTTAGGGAGGTGTGAACTTCACTAACACTTAGTGGAAGGGCACAACAATGAGATGCAGGCAACACAGAATGTTTCTGGAGTGTGTCAGGAGCAACTGCTGAGGTGTCAGATAAGATGATGTTTCCCTAAGTCTGCTCAGCAAACAAGAAATAATCTACGTGAAAATCAGCAGCAGCCTTTGCCACGGTGACTGTGAAACAGTGGAGCTCAAGATCCTGAAGGAAGTAGGGAAGGTGAAAAGCAGAATAAAAAACATTTAGCAGAGTCATGTTTGGCTTTTTCAGGGAACTGCTAGGAATGATTTGATGGAGGCAGTTCTTCAGGATGAAGATGGTTGAGTGTCACCCTTCTGGTGCCTCCTCCCTACGTCAGAGCTGTTTGCATCAGCACTCAGTAAAAATAAGCAGACAGCTCAGGAAAATGCCTTGAATAAAGGAGAGGCTTGCAACTGACCCTCAGTGCTAAAAGTGCCCCCAGGTGGGATACAAACCTCTAAGCTTTAGAGCTTGGGATCCAGCTGTCTAGACCATAACATCCCCACTTGTGTACAGGAATGCTAGGCTGTGTCAAAACCCTCACTGAAATCAAGGTAGGTTACAGCTGCTGCATGCCCCTTGTCTACAGATGTGGACACTTCCTGAAAGCAGGCAGGTTGGTTGAGCATGATTGAGCTGTATCAGGTCTGTGCTGCCAGTACAAATGTGTGCCAGAGCCAGGTGTGGGTGGAGCAGCCCTTTGCTTACAGATCTCCCTGGGAGGCTGGAGGCAGTGTTTGCTGCTGTGGGCCAAGTGCTGTGGGGGGGAGAGGTGGGGAACAGTTGTTTTCTTTGGAGAGAAGTTCTGTTTTGGATGGGGGAGGAGAAACCTGCAGTCATGTTTTCTGTCCCACAGCTCTGGGATGCTGGCAGCGGCTCCTTGATGCAGAAATTGCAGGCTGACCTGCCTGTGCTGGACATCTGCCCCATGGAGGTGAACCAAACCCACCTGCTGGCTACTCTGACAGAGAAGGCAGTGAAGCTCTACAAGTGGCAGTGAGCGTGTTCCCCCTGGTGCTCCCCGTGAGGGCTTCCCAGGTGTGCTGCTGATGGGCCCTACAGCAACAGCACAGTCCCACATGCTGCTTGGTGTCCTGCACATGCTGCTTGCAAGAGGCAGGAGCTCAGCAGCACCTTTCTGGCAGCAGTCAGGAACTGGGACACAGAGGTGCCTGGGGTGCTTCCTGTCATCCTCCATCCTCCTTTTTCAGGTCCGTCATTATTTCTCCATTGGTCAATTTTCTACAGTCAAGCTCAGCAAGCTGCCTCAGCACAGCAATAATTCTTGGCCCGTCTCCAGTGTGTGTTGCTGCACTTTTTCCAGTGTGAATATATTAGAGGGATTTGCAACTCTTCTACAAATCAACAGAATAAAAGGAACTTGAAGACCTGCGACTCCCACTGTACTCTCACATAGAGGCCTGCTGTGATTACTGGGTGATGAAAAGATGGCAATGCTGGCACCTCACCAGTGTTGCTGATACTCGGTGTAAAAGCAGGCTCACTATTTCAGAGAACATTTCCACATGTTCTTTTTTTTTGAAGGCAGAGGGCAAAGCCAGTTAGCAGTTCCTGAGGAGGAGAGACCCTGTGTTGCGGCCATGAAGAGAGCAGGCTTGTAAAATCTGCAGTTTTTTGTTTTCTCTCCCTGTGAGCATGTATTTTCTTTTTTTTTTTTTTTTTGCACTGTAGCTGCCTAACCGTGTCCCCATCTCCCTCTCTTTTCCTCCTTCACCTGCCACCAACATCCAGGCAATCTTGGGCAGTGTGGTTGTGGAAAATGGAAACTCATATAAAGGTTGGGGGTGGGGGGATACTTGTACTACTGGCTGCTGCAGTCTGTGTGTCCTTCCTTGAAGTACTGATGCACTGCAACAGCCCGTACAGTGTGGGAGAATGCTGGCTCTTCTCCTGTGGGGCATCAGTGGGGCTGCCCATGGGGATCAGCCCTGGCTGCTGCAGTTGATTCTTGGCATCTGTACCGTGAATATGCTGCAGGGTATGAGAACGCCCATTTCCAAATCAAATCATGGGACAGGACTTTGGTTTCCTTTTGTTTATCAAAAGCAAAGCTGTGAGGATGTTAGAGAAGCCACAGGGCAAGTCCCTATGTTGGCACTGTGTCCCTGAGCACAGCACTGTGGTAGCAGCATCTGTCCTGGGCATGTGGAACCTGCTACCACTCACACTGCCAGAACAGTTTTGTTTTCTGGGATGTGCAAGATAGGACCCTGCTTGAGTCTGGTGAGATCTCTGCTTAACTTTGTAAATTTATGTATATTATTTTATTTTTCTATGCTGTAAAAATAAAGTGTTTATAGTTATCAAATACAGTTGGTGCTGCTGTACCTTAGAAGCACCTCAGCAGTATATGCTGCTTGTCTTGGTGTGAGCGAGCAGCCCTGTTTGCAGGTAAGCTTTCTCATGTTTTGCACTGGGGTTCAGACTGAAATAATGGCTTTCAGTGGATGGAGAGCCCTCCATCCTCCACCCCAAAAAATATTCATATGCACGCAGGAAGAAAGGAACTAAGATTTCCCATCTGATTTTCCAGGTAGCAATTATATTCTGTTGTCTCTCTTATTCCTGCCGGATGGTATTAACAAATTAAATTCTGTTGAAATAAATGAAAGGAGAATAGCATTTTGATATTCTATTCAAACCCGGAGTTTGGAAGAATTTTTCAAAAATTTTAGATGCTAAGAACCTCACACATGGCTGTCACAGGTTCACAGTAAGCTTTGGCAAAGAGCACCTAAACTTGCAGAAAGCTGCACTGAGGGCTGGGGGAAGGTCAGATGTGTTAATTAAACAGGTGCTCATCTTGTCTGGAGTCAAAGGGGCAGATTCTGGGATAGGGAGAAGAAAAATCGGTGTCTGCAATATGCAGGGCAGCTGTCATTAGGGGCTGGAGGCAGGGAGCTGCTACGTGGCTATTTCTGCTTCTGTCTCTGGGAAGATTTGGAGCAGGGCAGCCCCGTGGCAGCTCCTGAAGTAAATGTGATGGGAGGTGATAGGTAAGCTCTGCTCTCTGCAGATGGGGCCTTTCTGTTGGCTGCGTGCACTGCTGCTTCTCTGCAGGCTGCTATGGAAGAGCACCGTTCCTCATTTTAATTCTTATCTCCTTTCGAGATAAAGATTTTTAGGGAGAAATACTGAAGAGGCAGAAGTGCTCAGTTTACTCATCTTTGCTTAAAGGGAAAAAGCCCAGCTGCGTTTGGATGGCAGTGAGCTGTGGGCTCAGATGCTGCCGGGTTGTGCCTGCAGGAAACCTGTGCACAGAGCATTGCTGATGAGATCTTGGTGCTGCAGCAGTGCTGGGGAGCACTGAGGGGATGTGGAACAGTGCTGCAGTCCCATCTCTTGGTAAACAGTGCCTCTGAGTAGTGAAAAATAGAGGAGGTTGGGAGCTATGCCCTGTTGTGCTTATCTAATGCTCAGAGTGACCTCGGCACGATCCCAGCAGGTAGCAGGCAGTGCCTGGGCTGTGCTGGGCAGGAGGGGAAGTGCCTCAGCAGCATCTCGGTGATTATCCCACCTGCTGAAGCGTAATTAATTGGAGAGTCCCTAGGGGTTGGTTTTGCTTCCGCTGGTGGTGGATGGGGAGTCTGCCCACCGTGCTTGAGATGGCACCAAGCTGGGAGCAGCAGTGAGTGCTCAGGGAGGCAGCAGAAGGCTGGGGAAGAACTGTGGCTCATCAGGGGGAAATTGCTTTTTGTTTTTTCCTTTTCTTTAAATGTGAGTGTGGGAGGCACGAGGCTCACCCTGACCCAAGAGATGCTGTCTCCTGTTTGTCCCCAGCCTCCTTGGAATCTGAGCATTGCCTCACTCTGCTTATTTCCATGCACAGGTAAGCGAAGATGCAAGGCTGTGACCCAGGAGATAAGTGGAGACAAAGTGGAAGTGAAGCACCAGCCTTCATCAGCAGAGGTGGGCAATGGGTGTAGAGGCAGTGCTGAAGTCCTGGGGTGTGCAAGGGACAGAGCCTCAGCGCTGCTTGGTGTCCCTTGGCCACGTGGGGCCAGGTCTGTGTCCAGTTAGAACCTGGAGCATCTGCTCTGCATAGGACAAGTTTTCCTCCCCATCATGTGATGAGCCACAGAGTGAGGATGCTACATTGTGCTGAGCTGCTGGGGTTACTGCCCGGGCAGAGATGTCGCTGTGCACAAAGAAATCTCTCTTCCTTGTTGAACTTGTGGTGTGGTCACAGCGTGGGGCTCTTCTTTATGAAATGTGTGTTTGGGGGTGGACTATTCAGGATGTTACAGCCCAAGGTTGGAACAGGGGTTTCCCGTGAGTGCAGAAAGCTCAGCAGAAGGAGGCGGGAGTGCTGCTGCTGCTCCTGGAAAAGTGGCTGGAGGGCAGCTGAGGCTGGGGAAGGAGCTGGAAGCTGTGCACTGCCTCTGCTGCTCCTCTCCTCCTGGTCCTGCCGTAGGAGGAGGAGCAGAGCCAGCTCTCACGCTGGGCCTTTCCAATCGTTTCCCATAAGCCAGATCCGCTGCCAAGCGCTGGGTGGATTTTTGCTGGCTTTTGTCTCTAAGTGTTTCCAGCTGCGCAGCTGCTGGGTGCCAGCACGAAGCATCCCTCCCAAGCACTGCTTTCCCGGCAGCGAACGCAAGAAGCACGGAGACTTTGCCAGCTCACCCATCTCCCTTCATACCATGGTCTCTGGATGCACAGCCAGGTGGGGCTGCTGAAGGTCTGCTGCACTCTCCAGGAGCACACCTTCTGCAGGGTGACCGCCAGGGCTCCGCCATCTACTGCTGCAGTGCTCAGGGTGAGATTTGAGGTTTGGCGAAGCAGTGGAACTCAAACTGGACAGATTTCCTTAGTGTGAGATGCTGAGGTCTGGCTCCCAGGGAGGAGGGAGCTGTGGTGATACCAAACCGCTGCTCCTGGGGAGGCTGTCAGGCAGAAACCCACCTGGCTCTTCTGTGAGCTCACAGTGTGAAAAGTGTGTTGTGTTCCCTGTAATCACTCCTTTCTGGCCCCATTTAATTGCATCTTGCAACTCTTTCTTTCTTTCTTTCTCCCACCTGTGAGGATACAGCTGCTGTCTCTCTACGCTTTATTCCTTTATTTTTTTTTCACCTAACCTCCTTTGCTTGACCCAACACGTGCAGTTGGGTGGAGATGCTCATCTTGTACATCTTTCACTGCTGTGCTCTTGAGCAAATCTCTCTGGCTCTGGCATCGCCCCCAGAAGGCTTTACAGAGCTCAGCACGTCTCGCCCGCTGTAGGTGGGCAGGTGCCAGCTCTCACATGAGCGCCTGTTTCTCTCTGTCCCCATGAAGAAAGCCTGGAGTAAAATGGTAATGGAACCAGGGCGATGTGCCATGAGCTGCCGTGAGCCCACATGCACTGAGCGTCGTGCTTGGACGTGACATTCGATGCTCAGTTCTTTGATATTTTGATTTTTTTTCTTTGTTGTTCAGTATTTCCTTGTTACAGTATTTCATCCCTGGAGGTGTTCAAGGCCAGGTTGGATGGGGCCCTGGGCAGCCTGGTCTAGCATTAGGCGGGATGTGGTTGATGGCCCTGCATCTGGCAGGGGGTTGGAGATTCATGGTCCTTGAGGCTCCTTGGCCGTTCTGTGATTCTGTGATTTGGCCTTAAGTTTTCTATACTGCACACCGTCACATTCCCTTTCCCTTGGTTTCTTATGTTCTCCAATCGCAGAGCCAAGAGCCTCTTCACCAAGCCTTGGCACTGCCCCTCCAAGGGGAACCACGCTGTTGTCCCCATTCCCCAGGTGATGCACAAAGAGATTTAAAGCAAAGATTGGGACGGATTTTGGATGCCCAACGTGTGTGAAGGCGGATGCCCAAGCAGGAGCTGACGGCTGTGGCAGCTCGGTGGTCACAATACGAATAACGCCAGGAAATAACGTGGGGGTCTGGGACTTGGAGGTCTTAAACCCAAACTACTGGGGCTGTTGCTGGGGAGATGCCTGGGGCCGCGACGACGGCCCGGCCCAAAATGGCGCCCGGCCCCTCAGGGTGGTCGCGAGGGGGCGTGGCCGAACGGAGGCGCGGTCCGGCATCGCCCCGCCCACCTCCGGCGCCGAGGGGCGGGGCTCTCCGCGGTGACGTCAGACGGCGCGCGGCTTTGCACACGGCGTGCGTGCGGCGGGGCGGGCGCGCCGGAGGTGGGGGATCCAAGATGGCGCCGTGCGGACGTGTCCGGAGCCGCTGCCCGGGCCCCGCGCTCCTCCTGCTGCTGGCGCTGGCGGCGCGGCCGGCGCTCGCCGTGCCTCCCGCCGCCGGCCTGCAGGCCGGACCCGGCTCGAACGCGGCGGGGCAGCCCGCGCAGGGAGCGGCTCCCGGTGCCGCGGGCCCGCGGGGAGCCCGAGGAGGCGGAGGCGGCGGCTCCGGCGGCGGGTGGAAGCTGTCGGAGGAGGCGGTGTGCCGCGAGGACGTGGTGCGGCTGTGCTCCAAGCACAGCTGGGCCAACAACCTGGCCGTGCTCGAGTGCCTGCAGGACGTCCGCGAGGTGAGGGCGAGGCCCGGCGGCGAACAAAGAGCGGGGCCGGGTCCGCCCTCGGCGCCGGGAGCCGCGGCCTCACCGCGGGGCGGGGTGCGGAGCGGGGCTGCGGGGCGCCCCGAGCTGCTGCCGTGCGGCCCGCCGGGCTGCGCTGCGTCCGGAGCACCTCGCGTCGGCTTCCCGGCCCTCCCTGCGGACGGCGGACGTCTCCGAGCGCGGGGCGCCGCCTCCCGGGATCCGTTCCCGGCCTGACGCCCCCCGAGGACTCGCGCTTTTATCCGACTTCTCGCCGTCGTTTCGGATAGCTGGTAGCGGAGCTGAGCAAGTCCTCGTGCAGCGCGGCTGCGAAGCACCACGGCGTTTTCCGTGCATCTCACGCCCTTCCTGCTGCTCCCACCTCCGGGCCCTTTGGACCCCGCTGGGGGCCCGCAGCTCCCCGCCTGCCCACCGAGGCAGCCTCTCTTCACAGCTGTGTGGCTCCTCCCTTCTCTCTCCCCCCCCCCTTCCTCCCCTTGCAATGTTTATTGGTTTTCAGCCATTTTAGCACGCTGGACCTTCGGGTGGTGCAGTTCCTCGGCTCTGTGCTGGTTCTTGCTGATGGAGTTGAATGGGCTCAGGGCTGTATGGAGAGAGGCAGGAGGATGCTCGGCGTTGTGTTGTTTGCAGCTGATGCCGCCCCATACGTGGGTTGTGCACACCTAATGAACGCTCTGCTCTTCAAAACGTTATGTCTGCTTGTGGTTTCCCTCTCAAAGCCTGTCTCCGTGGCTGGGGTTTGCTGGCCGTACTCCTGTCTGGTTGTAATACCCAGTGCTGAAGGTGGATTCTTTCCTGGGCAGCGTTAGGACACCGTGGGGTCGTTTTGGGTTGGGATTTCTCTGCTGGAGCTCAGCAGCTGCTCTGCTGTCAGCTGCTCCAAGGGGCTGCGTCCCGGCCTAGGGGCTGTGTGCTGGGGGGCTGCTGGACAGCTGAGCCCAGCTAACGATGCCATTTAAGTGTTGCTGTTTAGGTTCTGAAAAGAAGCAGTGACTTGTGAATGTTGGGTTGTGTGTGGGGTGATGTGGGACAGGTCTGTGTGTCAGAATCCCCATTGCCTGGAGGCGGTGCTGGGGGACATCGGTGGCATTTCAGCTGTCACTCTTGTCACCACAGCCTGTCATTTCTACCCCAGCACATCTGTCAGCTCGCTTGGAGGGTACCCAAATAGTAGCAGCCATGTTTTAATATGGGGGAGAAACGATGGCGAGTGCCAGTGTGTACAGAATGCTGTTGGGATGGTGCTGGGGAGGGCAGCATTGGGTGCTGCTTTGCTGCAGGTAGCAGGTGAGGCTTTGGGTTGTGGTTTGACTGCTTCCACCCAATGCTCACACTGATCTTACTTCTCCTCGAAAGAGGAGTTCCTCAAAAGCAGAGGAGCTTTCAGTTTGAGGCTGGGAATGTTATTAAGAGCTCCGTTGGTTCTATTTTTTCTTTGTGGTGTGATACTGAGATACTCTTAAATCAGAATAATCGGGAAGGAGTTGCTTGAAGCCTTGGGTTGGTGAGGTGCAGGTGAAGGATGGTGTAAGCAGCGCGAATGTGCTGTGATCACATTGTTCCAAATGCATTCATTTCCTTTTAGTGGAAGTTATTTGTGCCCTGGCCACGTTCCCTTTTCAGGGTTCATTGAAATTTGTTATCAGTGTCGTTTTAACAGTTATTATACTGTTGTTATCAGTTTTTTTGTTTTTAATCTGAATTTTGGGAAGGTAGGAGAAGGGCAGAAGAAGGGCAGTGCGCTCTTGGTACTCAGAGGTTTGTTTGAAGAGGGTTTTGTGGAGCCCTTCTGCTTGCTGCCCGCTTTGCTGTGCAGGAAGGCTGCAGCTCGGAGCCCTGCTGTGGGCTGCCCACTAAACTCAGTGGTTATAATGCAAATAATGCCAGGAAATAACAACATATTTGCTGGGTAAATGCCGTGCATGGTTAATGATGGCTTTGCATTTAAAGCATGGCGGAGTTGTTGAGTTTTGAGGTAGGTATGGAAATACCTTAACCTGGCGTGGGAGCTGTGCTGGTTTGTTGGCAGATGTATTTCTGCAGTTTAAAAAGTATCTTAATTCACTGATTAAGCAGACCTGGCTTGATGCTGTGATCTGTTTAAAGCAGTTTTGTGGGCTGGTGATAACAATACTTTGCAATACCAGTAGGTGGATATCGGTGTGATTGCAGTGTGGGAGAAGGCTGCAGAGTTTTCCTAGAGCCCAGACAGCAGTGGTTGGGTTGGGGTTGGATTTGGAGGCTTTGGCTGCACACTCCTTTGTCCTGGGGGGGGCTGTTCTGCAGGGTCAGTGCTTCTGGGGGAAGCCCCTCTGTCTCCATGCTGAGGGTTGGCTTAGGGGTGGGAGAAGTGCATCAGCTGGGGACGTGACAGCGTGTGCTGTGCACACCTTTGTGTCCTTGTGAGCCCACACGTGGTCAGAGCTGGATGTGCTGAGCAGGACCACCTGCATGCTGAGATGGGGAGGCCAAGCAGTGTTGCTCGCTCAGAGCCTTCACCTCTTTGGGGGTGCTGTGGCTGTAAGTAAGGCACTGTGTGCTCCTGCCCTCTGTGTCTGTTGTTCTGCTCTCCTGGCCAGGACCTGGAGCTCGGAGGCCTGCCTGCCTGCCTGCAGCTCGTGGTTTAGCTGCATGGTGAGCTTTGTTTGTTTGTTTAACCTCAGCGATGTGCTGGGTTGAATGGAGGCTGTTTCGAGTCAGCCTGCTGCATGAGCTCATGTGTGAGCGGATACTGGCATCGCTTTGGGCTCTTACAGCATTGAAAGCACCAGGCTGGAATTCCTGCCCGGAGCTGCAAGGAATGGAGGGCTGCAGATTGTGCTGCACGTGTCTGGGTTTGGAGGGAAGGCAGGCGGAGAAGACCAGCAGTTTGCTGAGCAGCCATCCCTCTTGGTGCTGACAGCACTGCAGGACCTCCTGGTGCCTTCAGGTGAGCACATGGCAGGGCAGCAGGCTGCTCTGGTTCCTGCTGCTGGTTGGCATGCAGGGCAGGCTCTCTGTGCCTGCAGCACTACTGTTGGGTTCAGACAGCAACATGCAAAGGGATTTATTTATTTTTTTTAAGGCAACGATCAGAAACCTGGGAAACGTACCTTAAGCCTTGCCAAGGGCTGTGCTTATGCTGTCCCTTTCTTTTAAGGGCTGTTGACCTGGTGATGACTCAAAGCTGGCTGCGCTCGCCGTGGGAGCTCAGAAGCTCTTACATCCTCAAGGAAGAAAGGGATGGGATGGATCCAGCAGCTGAAGTTGAGCTAACTTAAAGCATTACAGTTTTAAGAGATTGAATTAACCGTTGGACTGTAGCTGGATGCTCAGTGTGTGTCTGTGCTGGGACTCCCCAGCTTAGTGCTCTGCCTCACGCTGAACGTGATGAAGGATTTCTGGTGGTTCATGGCAGCTGGAAGCTACCTGGGGCACTGTGCCTCCTCCTCAGAGATGTGCACAGTGGGAGCTGCAACCCCCAGAATCAGTTCTGTGCCTTCTTTGGCACGCCTGCACTCATATTAGCTGGTTCAACACAGGTTTGGTTTAATAAAAGGGGGATTATCTTCCAAGCCTGCCTCCTCCAGGGATGCAGGGAGGACCAATGGAGGCAGCTTGGTGCAGCCCAAACTTGGCTGCTTTGAAGGAGGTGTTTCAGGCAGATGCTGTGCTGCCTCTCTTTGCTGGTACAGAGCTGCTGGCTCAGTGTTCTCTTCCCTGCAGGTGAACACTGTTTTCTTGGTGGGCTCGGGTTGTTTTGGTCCTGGGAAAATGTACAATTACTTTTGGAAAAGCCTTACAGTTATTCTTGCTAATTAAAAAAAAAAACCAAAAGCCACCCCCCAGCCAGATGAATGGAAGGTCTGGGTAATTGTCTTTTCATTTTAAATCTTACCTCAAAATAGTTGTTGTTGGTTTGTTTTTTTTTTTAATTCGTCTCATTTCGTTTCGAGCTGTGTGAAGTTGGTTGCCATGGCATTAAAAAAAAATCCAAGAACTCAATCCTGTCAGCACTTTCACTGGAACAGGTTGCCCAAGGAGGCTGTGGATGCCCCATCCCTGCAGGCATTCAAGGCCAGGCTGGATGTGGCTCTGGGCAGCCTGGGCTGCTGGTTGGTGACCTGCACACAGCAGGGGTTGGAACTGGATGAGCAGTGTGCTCCTTTTCAGCCCAGGCCATTCTATGATTCTGTAGTTTTACGATTGCTCTCTGCCATCATTTTATTTCAGGGATGGTGGTTTGTGCTGGGGTGGGTGTGAGGGTCCTCCTCCCCCAGGTTCTCTCTGTGTTGGGGCAGTCACTGAAAAGGCAGTGCTCTGTTCTGGGTGAGAGCTGAAGGGCTCCCCTTGGCCAGTAGGGCTCTGCTTTCCTTGTGGCTTTAGAGTTATAGCAGTTGATTTCAGGTGCTCCTTTTAGAGCACGTCTCAAGTTGGCCTTTGCTTGAGTTGTACCTGAGATGTCTCCATTGTTGCTGTGTGTTCTGTGAAACACTTCTCTGATTTTTCAGGAGCTCTGAGTCCCTCGGAGCAGGCAGCTGGTTCTATCAGTGTAACGAAGCATTGCCCTGTATGTAGAGGGGTGTGTGGTTAAAGCCAGCACTTCTGCAGCCCTGCTGTGCAGAACCAGCCAGGAGGCAAACGTGCTGCTTTTTGTTTAAAGAATAACACCTAGCTTACCCCAAATACATGCCTGTCATTCGGTGGCAGCTTGGCTATCTCAGCATCTTAGAATCATTCTGGTGGGAGAAGGTTGCTAAGATCATCTATCAGCCCCAACCCCTCACATCCTGGTGAGGACATCCCTGCCCTCCCTGTGCTCAGGAGTTTGGTCACAGGGATGTTTTCTTCCAGCCTGTTCAGTGCTTTCCTCCAAGCGAGCTGAGAGCGTGCCCAGCTGAGTGTGCCTTCTAAGTGATGCACTGATTGCCCTGCAGAAAAGTTTTGCTAGTTGTTGTTTAATTCTTTTATTTCTGCTTGGCTTGTAGGCTTCC